GGCTTTTAAATTCTGCGTCGGGAGGGAGAGCGAAGCAGCCCCTCAGCCTGCGCCTGGCCGGCAGGTGGCCAGCTGGCCCCCGGGGCACTCATCAGCACGGCAGCCTGGGCTGGGGGTAGCAGTGCAGCCCCGGGTGGTCTCCCGGTGCTTGGGTTGGGGTGCTGAGGGCCTTTCTGCTCAGAGGCGGGCCTGGGCTTCCCCAGGTGCAGCCATTCCCCACAGGCACTGACCTGCCTGCGGCCCTGGCCCTGCGGCTGACCAGCGCTGCCTGCTGGGCTCTGTCCCCGGCGTCGGGGCCAGTGGGGGGCCAGGGGCTGGGGAGGGCGCGGCGTCCCAGCCCAGGCCGTGGGCTGGGGCTTTGGGGTGTGCCGTTGCCGTCGGTGCCGGACTCCGAGTGGCGCATGCCTGGTTAGTGCCGGGAGTTGGGCTTGAGGGACATAGTGGCCCGGCTGCTCGGAAGCTCGTTCACGGCTCCTCGCGCTCTCAGCTTTTAAGCACAAAACATTGTTGAGACGCCTGTTCTCGCTTCAGGGTAAAAAAAAAGCCCAGGGCCTGTTTATTCACAGCTGTGGCGGGGCCTGGTTTTGCTTTCGGAAAATGCCTGTAGGTGCTTACAAAGTGGGTTGCTGTGATGCCTTGGCTCTGGGCCCGCAAACTGGTGACGGCGGTCACCAAGGAAACCAAGGATGCGGCTTCTAAAAGGTCTCTGAGGGCTTTTGTTGCTGACGCCTGGAATCCGATTGGCTGAGAAGTGCGCGTGGGGCGGAGCAGAGCACCCGAGGTTTGCTGCCCTCCCGAGACTGGTAGACCTGGTGCCCACTGCGCCGGAAGCCTACGAGGCCCTTGGCTTGAACACAAGGCGGGAGCCGGGTGTTTTCTCAGTCACTGTGACATCTGGCCTGCGGTCAGGCCGCCCGAGCACAGGAAGTGAGGTAATGCCTTCGATCCCAGGCCTGCGGGGGCCGGGGTGTCTAAATATGGGCAGCTGGCCTCCGTCCTGCCCTGGGCTTCAGCCGGACCCCCGGAGCTGCAAGTCGGGGGCTGCTCTAGCCGTGGGGTGTGTGCGGCGGGAGCGGGGCCCTGGCTGCGCTGGTGCAGCACCAGGCGGGGCAGAGCGCGGAGAGGCTCAGTGCTTCCGCTGCCGCGTCTCCACGGCCGCCGCCTCTCCCGGGTGCCGAGGACTGGGGTGACTCCTTGTTCCCTCGGGGTTACTGAACTTGGGAGTCAGGTCCAGCCCACGGAAGTCCAAGTGGTCACAGTGTTCCGAGCATGAATAAAGGTGGCACCTGGGTGGCCAGCTTGTGGAGACCGGGGGCGCAGAGCGGCGGTGGCCGGCGCTGGAGCCGAAGCCCGCTGTCCGCTGTGCTCAGCAGATGTCCTGGAACGCCGCGCCGTCGTGCGGGGTGGGGGGGCTGTCGTGAAGCACGGGACGGGTGGGGGGCAGGGTCTGGGTTAGTCATCGGCTAAGCATCTCGCAGGAAGCTCGCCCGCCAGCGCCCGGTGGAGGCCGGGGAGGAAGCCGGCCCTCCCGGGCAGCCAGCCTGAGGGCCCTGGCCCGCCTGCTCCCAGCTGCCCGGCTGCAGGGATCCTCTTTCGTGTTCAGGCCCAGGCGGGGGCAGTGAGGTTGCTGACGCTCAGGGCGGGGTCTCCAGCTTGAGGGTTAAGGGAGCAAAACCTTGGATTTGACCTTGGGTGACTGCCGGTAGCTCTGCAGGGGCACCGCTGGCCCCTGCCGCACGCCTTCGCGTGGGGTGCTGTCCTCACCCGCACTCTGAAGTGAAGGTGCACTGCCCGGCCACTTGGGGGCGCTGCCAGGCATGAGGGAGCTGGGTGGACGCCTGGGAAGAAGGCATCCCCCAGTGGCCGGCGCACTTCGGCGCACAGTCCTAGGCCCCTGGAGATGCAGCAGCTCGTGATGCTTAGCGGCGGGTGAAGTCTGTTTCCTTGTCCTGGAAACTTATTTCTGATGACCTGATTCCAGGGGAGGGAAAGAAACGCTTGCACTTGAGGAAGGTGGCCGCCCGTCTGCTGGCCAGGGCCGGGCAGCGGGCAGCTTGCAGCCCTGGCAGGCCCGACTCTCTTCCATGGAGGCTGAGAGGAGGGCGCGCGCTCCCGAGACCCGTCTGCGGCCTGGCCGTGCCACTTGCCACTTCCTCCTCGGGCAGTCGCATGCGCCCGTGTGCCCTGGGCGCTCTGTGGGCTGGGCGCCGGGCGGGGCCCGCGGCTCTAGGTGCCCCCCCACCCCCGTGTGCATCGGGGGCCGTGGAGGATCCGGGTGTTTGCCCAAGTCACGCTGAAGGAGGAGATCCGCTCTGGAGACGTTTGGGCCCGTCGCTGGTGTTCGGGCACCCTGATGAGGGGAAGGGTACAGCCTTAGCCCCCAGGGCATAACAGCGTTGTCTGGGAAACAAGTTGCTTCTGACCGGTTTTTCTTTGTAGGGCTCAGATGGATTCCGTGGAGAAGACAGCAAACGGGAGTGAGCAGAAGTCAAGGTAAACGCAGCCCGGTTCTCCTCAGCCCTGTGACCGCAGCCCGGGGCAAGGCCCAGGCCTGAAGCCCCACTGCAGCGGGAGGCCATGGGCAGGGGCGGCGCCTCCGAGTCCACTTGGACCCTTGCATGAGGCCGCCGTGGGGCCAGATAAGGGACACGTGCCACCGGGTGGGGTGGCAGAAATCCAGCTAGAATTTTCTGTCACTGCAAGCAAGGGTCGTCTTGTATCTTGTATTTACGTGCTTGAGGGGATTTGAAATTGCGGGGCTTTTGACCACAGATGCGGATGCGCGAATCCCCGTGTGCTTCATGCCGGCGGCCCCCGAGTTCTGTTGGAGCAGGACAGAACCCGAGCGAGACCGCGGCAGCTCTGGGGCCGTGTGTCTCCCGCCTGCTGTGGCCCGCCTTGACCCCCTCACCCCCCCTGCTTTTAAGTAGAAAGTTCCTGAAGAGCCTCATCCGGAAGCAGCCCCAGGAGCTGCTGCTGGTCATCGGGACGGGGGTGAGTGCGGCGGTGGCCCCCGGGATCCCGGCCCTCTGCTCCTGGCGCAGCTGCATCGAGGCGGTCATCGAGGCGGCCGAGCAGCTGGAGGTGCTGCACCCTGGGGACGTGGCCGAGTTCCGCAGGAAGGTGACGAAGGACCGGGACCTGCTGGTGGTCGCGCACGACCTGATCCGGAAGATGTCACCCGTGAGTGCGGCCCCGCGGTGCTGGGCGGCGTGGCTCCGGCCCTGGGCCTGGCCACGGGGGCCCGCCTCGCGCCTGCGGGCCCGGAGCCCGGTCCGCTTGTCCTGACGCGTTCTCTGGCGCCCCCGCAGCGCACAGGCGACACCAAGCCCAGCTTCTTCCAGGACTGCCTGATGGAGGTCTTCGACAGCCTGGAGCAGCACATCCAGAACCCGCAGGTGCTGCAGTCCATCCTCAGCCTGATGGAGCGGGGCACCATGGTCCTGACCACCAACTACGACAACCTGCTGGAGATCTTCGGGCAGCAGCAGCACAAGCCCATGGAGTCCCTGGACTTGAAGGACAAGACCAAGGTGCGCGCAGGGCGCAGGGCACGCGCGGGTCTGCTGCTCCCCGGCCCCTCTGCTCCGCAGCCGGAGACGTCTCCTCCCTGGGCCAGGCCGGGGCACGCTGCGCCCCCAGGCCTCCTGCCCGGCCTGGCTGTGCTGGGCCCCTGCAGTGCACGGCCCGGAGGTGTCCCCACCCGCTTGGCAGGCAGCTCTGGCCCCAGAACCAGTTCGAGCAGAGGTAGAGCTTTTAGGCCCGACTTCCCCTGGACGTGAGCCGGGGAGCGCTTTCCTGTCCTCAGCTGTCCCAGGCAGCGCACCCGGACGGCGCAGAGCGCACGCGCCTCCCCAGCGGCCGCCGCACCGGCGCCTGAGTCTGACCGCGTAACTTGCGGGATTGCGCTCCAGAAAGAGGACCGGCCGCGCGTCCCCCAGCTGTGACGGGAACCCCGTTCCCCGATCAGAAGCACGACAAAACACGTCTCACCATGGGTTAGGTGACAGCCTGCAGGCTTTCCACTTCTTCACCGAGGAGACCGTAGTTTCGTTTCGTTGACAAATGTCTTTTGTGACCTGTGTTCTTCGTGTGTTTGCGAGACGAGTGGGCATCGCCACCACTGAGGACGCCCACCCGGTGCCCACTCCAGGGGGGCACCGGAGGCCGCGGGGCCCGTCACCTTCAGGACCCCAGCGAGCGTGTGCTCCCCCGGGCAGCCCTGCTGTGAGCCTGCTGGCTGC